AATCATAAGATCGATGGTTTATGTTTTTTAAATAACATGAGGGAGAAAAATTATACGATCACTAGAATATTTTCATTATATGTTTAAATAATATACCGCTTAAAAAGTCGAGTAATGTTTATATTCTAAAAACATAAAACCCTAAAACATCCGTTCCATAAAACCCTTCTCCTTTCGTTTTTTTGAATTCCCTAAAACATTTCCACTTTCTATTAAAAAATTACTTTTACCTTACTTTTTTATACCCTACCTATCACATCATACTTTTTCACTAATAACCAAACTATAACATCTTACTTTTACCTATCACATTACGGCAAATTTAGAAAGTCAACCAAAATTATACTTTCCTTATTTTGGCCCAAAATCAAAATATGAAGTGTTTAAAGGAACGGAGGGAGTATATTACTTTAGGTTTTCACGAGTGAAAGCAAAAACCAGATTGTAAGTGTTAATTTTGAATGACATTGGTAACCCTTGCAACCTAACCAAAAATGTGGTATACACTAAAATTTTCAAAAGAATTGAATTTAAATTATACATTTACATGTCCTTTTGGATTTATATATAGATGAATTTGAATTAACAAATGTTTATGGTTTGTTATTTATTAAATTCTAAAGGTCGATATTATATTTTCCTTGATTCTTTAATCATTAACTACGCAGAAAAAATAATAGATTAAAAAATATATTTGTTCCACCCCGTGCGTGGCACGGGTAGAAATACTAGTAGATTACCAAATATTTCGGTTCGGTGTGGTATTTAACATCGCACCGATTTCGAAGTATTGTTTCAGTATGATTCGGGATGGTTAGATTTCGATTTCGGTAATATTCTGATGAATACATATACGTACTCAGTTTTACACTTTGAAATGTACAAAATTTTTACTTGAAATAATCAAAAGTACATTCAAATTAAGAAAGAAAAACATTTGAAAAATAAATAATTAAATGCAAGAAATGGTTATAAAACTTAGTTTAATTTATACTTCGTATTTCACAAACAAAAGAGAATGAACGATAATAAAATAGTATTTCAAATGTTTGTTAATTTTTTTATATTCATATACAAAAAAATAAAATTCAAATAAATGATTATTTAAAAAAAATATTATTTGTAATTCATCTACACTTGAACCTACAACTTTTCAAAATCAATTTATTTTTTAATGAAGAAATATAAAAACATTATTATTTTTATAACAATATTGTATATATGTCCGTTTCGGGATTTTTCGATGTGAGAAGTTACCTCGAACTTATCACAAATACTTGATTGACCATTTGGTTCGGTACGATATGGTTCTTTCTTGGTATTTTTAGATCAGTATTTTTCGTTTCAGTAATCTCGATTTTTTTAGAATTTTGGAATCGGTTCGATACTTCCTCACCCCTATAGAAAACAGGTTAAACAGCACAATAAAAAAAAGAGTGGGCTTACGTTGTTTTAAAAAGTGGGCTTACATTTAAATGTTTCTTTTAGAGCAAAATTATGGAGTATTCCCTCCCCCGCACAAAACCTTTCTGGTTTTGACTTTAAAAGGATTTAAGAAGAGTGCATTTTGATGTTGATTTTCCGAAGTGTCTTTGGATGTGATATTTAAAAATAGGATATGATAGGTATATTAATCGTGAAAAGGTATGATTTCATAGGTGGGTTAAAAATTAATAAAGGTAAAAATGATTTTTTAATACAAATGAGAAAAGATTTTGGAAACGGATGAAAGAAAAAGGAAAAATTACCCAAAATAATCCCAACTTTACTCGGTTTTTCAAAAATAATCCCACCTTTCACTGTGATGCATAATAATCCCAACTTTACTAAAATTTGCCAGTTTTGGGTCGCCGTTAAATTTCTAACGGGGGGATAACGGAAATGCCCGTTTTAGGCAACAAAATGAAAGTTGGGATTATTTCTGATGAATTTTTGTTTTTTAATTTTTTTTGAAATTTTTATTTAAATTTTTTGAATTACTTTCAACCTCCATTTTTTTTCTTTTTTAAATATTATTCTTATTTTAGAAAAAAAAAAGTTATAAAAAATAATGAAAATAAGAAAAATAACTAAAACCATACAAAATTAATCAAATAAATAATGTAATCAATAGAAATTAAACAGAAACTGTTAAGAAATAAAATAAATATATATGGAGTCGTGTGTTTAACATTTTACACACTATACGGAGTCTTAATGTACTACTTATTTTTTAAAAGAACAAGCCGTCCGGTAAAGTTGAAATTATTGTAGATAATTTTTTCTAAAAAATAAGAAGTGATATGTTAATACTTTGTATAATGCCTAAAATATTAAAACCCACCCG